CATGGGCTGGGGGAGCCGCTGCTGCTGCCCGGGACGGCTGGACCTGCTGTGCGTGCTAGCGCTGCTCGGGGGCTGCCTGCTCCCTGTGTGCCGGACGCATGTCTACACCAACCACTGGGCGGTCAAGATCGCCGGTGGCTACCCGGAGGCCGACCGCATCGCCAGCAAGTACGGCTTCATCAACATAGGACAGGTAAAGACTCCAGGCCGACCGGGCCTTCTGTCGGGGAGCTGCCGGGGGCTGCCGGTCCCCTCTGTTGCGACCCCCCTCCCCCTCTTCCAGATGTGCTCCCGCAGCTGTGGTCCTAACTCTTGGGCGATGCTGTATGGCGCGCTCTCTCTTTCCCTGTGTCTCTTTCTCTGTCTCTCACACACACACAGAAACTCACGTACACCAAAGTTGTCAGGATTGCGTTTTGTTTACTTATTTATTTTTTTTCTGGAAGCCACGCGGGACAGGTAGGGTCTCTGGAAAGACCCAGAGTAACCCCGTAGTGTTTCAGACTCCACAGGACCTTTTGACCCGGAAAAGTCTAGGAGCATTGGTAGCTCCAGGAAAAGTCTCAGCTGGTGGCCGGGTGTGCGTGTGTGGGAGGTGTTGAGCTCTTTGGGGGGGCGGTTAGAGGGCGAGCGCGCCCTCGGTGTTTGCGGGGTCGGAAAAACCTTTCGCGTTCTTGTCTATGTTCACCTCAGAAAGAAGTTTCCTCTCCTCGGGCCGGAGAACCGCTAGGCTCTAGAGACGCTGGATCGCCCGGACTGAGACGTAGGTGGGGGGCGGGACCCCGTGGAGGCGCAGATTTAGGGGAGACCTGGGGCTTACTCCCCTTGCGCGCGATCCGCGTGGGGTCCTGGAGGGGGAAATTGGACGGGGAAATAGGGAACTTTGGAAATCCTTTATCCCTGCTCAGTGGAACAGGGGAAACCTTGCCTAGGCTGGAAGATGCAGTGGGGCGAGAGTTGAGTAGTCTCCAGGGGCGCGGGCATTTTTGGCGGGTGCTGCCTGTGGACTCTCGGGAGAGTTGTCGCGCCTGGGGAGAATACCGATAAATCTAGGCGGGCTGTTGGCAGTGCGGCAGACCTGGGGGCAGTACGAGCTGAAAGGTCTTGGCTTCCTTGTTCTCTTCCCGCACGACCTTGAGAGAAATGGAGGAGGAGAAGGGGTTTCCCTAAAATGTCCCTCCTCAGGCGTCTCTGGGGCTGGGGAGCGGAGGGGTCCCAGGCCCTGCTCAGACGCGACTCCGCTGCAACGGGCAGCGAGAATAATGGGGTTGGGCGCTCTTCCAGCAGACGCGCTTTGGGGACTGCTCCCGGCGTACGCACCCTACGTGCTCTGCCAGGGCGAAGGGAGAGGACGGAGTCGTTTGGTACCGCTGGAGCGAGAGAGTACAGATGGTTTCTGATGCCAGTGTGCTCCTGTCCAGAAAGGTGGGACTCCCACTCTCACCCATGGCCGACTGGGGTGTGGGCAGCGACTGGGGTGTGCGGAGCGGTACCCGGTGTGAAGAACCCAAGCTTCTGCCTCTGCTTCTCGAAGAAACTGGCGATTGCCCGGGGGTTCAGAGGAGCAGGAGCGCGAGGTCTCGCTCTTTGCCCTCCCAGGAAGAGGACATAGTCCAGAGAAGCTAGTCCTGTGGGGGACCGAGACCAGAGCAAGGCGCAAAGTTTTTCCTTCTTCCTCCAAGGAAATAAAGGAATACAGCCACATTTTGTTGCCTGAGCCCTTGCCCTCTATACAAGAGTTGCTTTCAAATGGCCCCTTGGGGTTTACTGTCTCCCCTCCCCCCCAATAAAAAGCACCAGATGCGTTCAGACCTTTTCAAAACCAGAGGTTAAAGTTGAGCACTACATATATCTAGGTGATGCAAATGTTAAGGATAATACTGCAAGGACAGTAAACCCATTAATCTGTCGAGAGTCTTTTCTCAGGTTCAGCTGACCCTGAGCATCTTCCAAATGACGGGCGTATTTGGAAGGATAAGTTTTCTCTCCCGTCTTAGCTATAAAAACGACCTTGTTTGGTGAGTATTCACATACAGCAGGCGAGGAAAACATGACCGGTGAGAAGCTGACCTCACAGGATCATGCAGCTGGACAGTGGCAAAGCCATGCTTCCTACCTGCTACTCTGGGCCAAGCCTGTTGTCTTATGGGTCTTGCCTTTATGGAATCCCCTCTACCCCATGTGGGGAAGGAGGGAAAAAAATAAAAGCCTGTTTCTCTGGATCTTAGTGACCCAGTAGATTGGAAACAAACACAAGTGAATACATATTTAGCTGAAACTTTGTGACATGCAAGGACAGAGGCGCTCCTGTCCTCCTGATCTCCTAGAACATAGGTATGGTAGCAGAGGCATCCCGAAGGGGAGAAATTGTCACCCAACCCACTTGTGAGCCTCACTTGACCTTGTAATGGCCTTATAATGAAGATGCATGGCTTTGCATTTAAAAAGTAGCACTAAGAAAGTCTACATAGAAATTACTAATACTGTTTATTGTGGCTTTTACAGCCCCAAATGCAGAAATTTAGCTTTACCGAGGTTACCGAGGACCATTTGAATTGATGCCACAACCAGTGTAAGAAATCAGTTACTCTGTAGTGTAAAGCGTTTCCTCTGTTGATCAAAGAAACATAAGCTTATGCTAAGCCTTTGGGGTGGTAAATTGAGTTCATGCATGCAATATTATTGCACTGTAAGGCCCAAATTTATTTGTTATTCATCCTTTACTGCACTGACCTTTTAACACTTTAGAAATCTTTTTGTTATTCTTCCTTTCCATCAATAAAGCAGCTGTGTGGTTCAGCTGAGGGCAGTAACTAATTTGCAAATGTCTCTGGAATGTTCTGTTTTTCCCCCATTTGGGATTGGGGTCTCATGTGTTGCAAGTTGGAACTAAACCTGTTTTTATTTCTGTAAGTCATTTACTATCCTGGTAGGATTTTTCGTATCTTCAGTATGATATTCTAAGTGAATAAGGTAGTGAATTTTCACCCTAAGTAAAGGTACAGTTTTGATGGTCTACTTGGAATATCAATGTAGTGTTTTATGTAGTACCTTAGCATTTAAAAGACTCCGGAGGTAAAATTTCCGATGTGGGGATTTCTCCAGAAAAGAATAGGTGTACCTCTTTTGTTCACTGAAAGGGTGTGCAGAGTAACACTAAAAGCAATCAAACAAGGAAAAACGACATGCTTGACTTTTAGAAAGGAACAGTTAGTAGGGTTTCCTTGCCCCCTGGCTGTAGCAATATCATTAAGTTTTGGTAGCTTTTCATAAATGCTTACATTTTGTAAATAGTTGTGCCTTGAAATTCTTGAGCAACACGAAACCCTAATCATTGCTGTAGCCATTATGTTAGCATAGAGTTATGATAGCATATTTAGCTATACAGTGCCCCTCTTTTCTTCCCCTGGTAGCTCTGCCGGGCTCTTAGTATACATACAGTACAACCAGTGCTTGCTGGTCTGGCTGAGGGAAAGAGGTGTGCTTTCATTAGCCTGCACAGAGAAGGAGGAAGAGGTCTCTGTCCATCTTCCCTAATGTTGTGCTCTGACCTTTGGAGCTAGCAGAATGCTGGTTAGAGAATTGAAATGACTTCAAAGATCAAGACAGACATATTGTTAATTGCAGACCTCAGTTTTGACTAAATCTACAGTGAGGAATTAATTTCTGGTTATTTGAATCCAGGGAGAAGATCCCCTATGAACAGATGGTTTGCAGCATGCTCTAGCTGTATTTATCTTTCTATAAATTGCCCATAATCCTTGATTCCAAGCCGGAGATTATCAGTAGCAAAACCCCTTCTCCAAACTGTATAGCGTATCTTGAAACAGACTCCAGAAGGCTAACACCAGGTGCAAGCCATACTGCAGAAATATTTTCTCTGGAGCCCCAGTGGACAGCACGTGAACTTGGAAACTGAAAAGACCACTTGCCAGACTGAAAGCAGGAAAGTCACTGAACTTAATGGAGCCCCTGTTCCTTCATCTGTAAAATGATAAATCTCTGGATAATGGAGTGAATTAACTATGCGTTGCTCAGCACATAGTTAGGGTTGCAATAAAAGGTTTGTTGAATCTGAAGCAAAGGAGAAAGGTTAACATAAATGAGCTCCAAACGTTACTGGATTTTGCTGTGGAGAAAGGAATCCATTTTAAAAATGGAAGATGCAAATTTTAAAGATCAGGAAAAGTTTTGTAGACAGGGAAATTGATTTTCTATTTCAACAGACAATTTTAAAATAGTTTCATGTGCATTTCTAAACAGTTAAGGCTGATTTCCCATAGCAATGTCTTTTTCCCTCATTGACTCTTGTTGTACCCTATTAAATATTATAGGGTAAGCTTGCTGAAAATCAGTGAAAGAGAAGAAAAAGTTAAAGTATAAAATTTATATTTTATATAGCTTTGAATATAGTTTATATGAATAAAGTCAGAAGAATTTTCATGGTAAGGAGAGATACTTGAGCAGAAAGAACCTTGTGCAGAACAGTGCTGAGGGCTTCTGGCTCTGCAGTTAGCTCGGACCTGTGGTTTGAGCAGCACAGAGTGGAAGGCTGAGGGACGGTGGGCAATGCATTGTGGGTACTTATGGATGGTGCTAGAGATAGGGTACAGCCCTGCGCTGATGGCTTGTGTGGAGGCAGACCTTACTCCCTGGTCAATTCCTAGGCGTGTTGTAAAGAGGAGAGGAAACTGAGGCTGTAGTCCCAGGTTGCTCCCTGGGATACATCTGGCTTTGTCCAGGCTGACTCTTCATGTCCAAGAACCTCAGCCCTGACCTTGGCCAGCTGCTTTCATGGGCGTATTTCTCCTGGACAGGTCAGTGGAGGGAGAACAGGGGAACCTTGACTGGAAAAGCCATTCAGAGTGCATGGCCTGCCAGTGGTGGGTCAGTGTGAACCTCATAGACCAGGAATGGGTTGGATGTGACCTTGGGGATTGGTGGGGTCTACTTGAAACTGCATGTTTTGAGCCCCAAAGCAACTGGATTTGTCTTATCACGATCATTCATGGGCTTGTATCCAGAGGTTTTAACCCAAAAGGTCAGCCAGAGAAGCAGGGTAGTATGCTGGGAAAATGTCCAGCTATGTCTGACTCTGGCTCAGAGAGGGAGTCCTGACCCGGCAGTATGCCTGGGCAGGGAGGAGCATTTGTGCTGTTGATTGGCGACATTATACGAGGTCTCCAAAGTATC